ACATACACAAAACACACACACACAGAGTACGAGAATATTAGCCATTTGCTGCCATGTATCTTATTTCTCTCTAATAAAACAACAGTGTTCGGTCGTTGACTAATTAAGTTTTTATGACATAAATCAATTTTTTTTCTGATGAAAATCTGAACAATATGCAGCGTGGCCACAACTCAACAGACCAGTAGCTTCTTTTTTATTACTGTTTCTGTTAAAAAAAAATGCTGGGCAATGTGACAATCATTAACCACCTAAAAAACTCCCAAAATTCACTCTGTTTATCTCCAACTCTTTCACACTCACCATCATCACTGTCACACCCAAAAATAAACAACGCTCTTGCTGTAAAGATGTTGCCATGTATTTCTACTGTACTTGATTTGACTGAAAGCCTCTATCCAAACATTGTGAATACGCATATTGAGGGTGTACACAGGGCATACATAATGCGCTTTTTCTCCCTCTACCCTTAAGAGTTAAGCGGCAATAAAAGAATAATAAAATGCAAACTAAATAATGCAACAAGCACCCAAAGCCATGACCCCTATAAAATTGGTTTTGAAAAATGCATTACATGATAATAAAATAAAATCCAGCTGAAACATATGTAGCCAACACAATCCACTCTACTAAAGTTGTCAGACCAGCGGCTACAGTACAGCTTGTAAACAACCATGCAAGCATGCATTCAGTCTTACACAAACGCACATGCGATCTCACACAAACACATACACATTTGCAGCACAGGCTTACAGATTACACAGAACAATGAAGAAAGGAAATCTTCGAGCAAAGAAGGAGAAAGAGCAAACCAAAGAAAACTGAAGAAGAATTGGGATACATAGCAGAAAGGAAACAAATTGAAGTAGTACCTTCTGAAGCATCCATGTGATGAGGGAAGGGTGGGACACCTGCAGAACCTCGCATGGTCTATCCAGAGCTCTTCGCGACTGCTTCCTGACGGAGCGGAGTGTGTGTATGAGCTGGAGAGAGAGCATGTGTGTGTGTGTGTGTGTGTGTGTGTGTGTGTGTGTGTCGGTGGCTGTGGGAGGGGATCCTACCCCTCCTCCTCAGGACTGTGCCTCCTTAACAGGATGGAGGGGTAGGTGGGGCCACTGCAATAAAGCAAACACACACACACACGCATTTTTCTATGGTTGTTATGTCCTCGCTTCTCTCGCTCTTTCCCGCCTCCACACTTCCATCTTTCTGTCTCTTTCCAAGACTTGCTTTCAACCTCCTTCCCTTGCAGACTTGCTCTCATTTCTCTTGCCTCGTGCCTCCCTCTGAATCTCAGTCCGTCTGCAAGGCTCTTACACTCTCCCTCTACCTTTCATCTCCCACCCCTCCCTACCCCTTGCCCCTATCTCTTCCTCTCTGACTGTAAGGTAATATTAACATGCTCCCATTAATCTGGAGAGGAGAGGGACATATGCTGTTTCTGGCTGGTGGTCCACAACCTGCTAAACTCCTGGTGTGTGTTTGTGTGTGCGTCCCGACGGTCTGTAGTCTCATAATACTCCAGCGCTAAGATTAAGCGGGACGGTAAGAGAGCGTGGTGTGTTTGTGAGATGAAAAGAGAAGAGAGGGACGGCGGGAAGAGGAGAGGAGTGGTGCCACGATCAACAGCAGTGAAGCACACTTTTTTAACCTTTTATAGTTCTTCTCACTGTGGGTCGTTGTGCCACCACCCCTCCTCCCTTCCACTCATCTGGCCACCAAACACAAATCCCATCTGATTCAGGGAGTAGCCATCCCTACATAAATCATTCCCTTATTCCACTGGCCACACGTTACATTGAAAAGTATTGATTTTTTTTTCTCCCCCCCGCCGCAGCACTGATTGCAAGGAAACCCTTCACAACGGTCACAAACAGGAAGTGGAAAAACAAACCACGGGTGTGTTTCGACTGACCACAATGGCGTATTACGAAGCTTTGGTCACAACACTGAAGTTCTTTACTGCACATAGCACACATGCAGTGGAAGCCACAAGACAGCATGTAAATACTAAAATAACAGGTAAAATACAAAGAATGAATCAGTAATATATAACAAGCAGTCTCCTCAACAGCAACCTTTACGTACATCTGTTTTTCAATAATACCAAATCTGAAATCAGTCCACAAAGATTAATATCTTTATTTTAGCTGTAGCCACATAAAAAAAACAAGTGTAGTTTTGGAGCTTTAAAAATGATTAAATCCCAAATATCTAAAAGGTGAGACAAAATAACGGTAAACTCTATGGTTTTAAATGAACCACTGTCCTTAGATTAAAACTGACCATCAGAAGAGCAAACGCTGCTGTCTCCATGACAGCACAGCTGAGGATACTTTGAACTCTGACCTTATACTCCTGCCTGTGCTCGGAAGCGGTGACCAAACCCAGGGTCAATCAAAAATTAGGGCAGCAGGGGTCAAATGGTAATGACCCCTCTCTGGTTATGCAACCACACCATATCAACCCCCTCCAAGTCACATCCACGCATCATTCATCCTAATCAGAGCAGTGTACCTTCCAGGGGTACGAGCTGATGCTGCTTCTGTATGATGAGATAGGTGAAAGTCTACAAGATGATGCATGAAAGGCAGAGTGCAAAATATAAAGAAATAAGAAAAGATGATAAAGCTACACAAGAGATAAAACATTTCAAACTGTGGATTTCAGTCAATTCTTACAGTACATTGATGCGTCAATACCTCGATTTAATTGGTAGCAATTTTGTATTAACTAATCACTTCAAGTATTCCTCTAGAAGTGCCTTTGATAGAATAATTGTAGTAATTATTTCACAATGATGCCTAAAACTTGGGATTGACAAAGAGGGCGGTGAGCATGAGTAATATGAGCAGAAAAATATAATAACGGTTGGAGTTACACATCTGAACAAATTTGCACTAAAAAGTCTGACTGGGTAACGCTGATAAGTTATAAAGAAGAATGGTGTAATATTCAATAACATTTTTTTCCTGTAAAGTGCATTTACAGGAATACTGTAGGCCTGTGATGAGTCAGCACAAAATGAAAAAGTGTTTAAAAACTAAAGTAAAATAAAATTGTTTGATCATTAAACAATAATTTAGGACAAATATCAAAACTACTGCATTTGTCCAATAAAGAATGTAATTAAAAACACATCCCAAGAGGAAGAGGAGACAATCTTTAAGAAAGGATGACACTGTCTTGGGGTAGAGAAACTGGGTTGGAAGAGAAGGGGGAAAGACAGATGAAGGGGTGGAGGGACTGATCAGAGGGGTGCCAGACACAAAGAGGCCAGGCCATGGCCGGTGGCACGCGATGGGCAGATTAACCAGCGTTTCCTCCCCTAACTGAAGCATTAGGACACCTGACTGAGTCCCGCCAATGGCAGCCAGCCAAGGATTTGTGGGGGGGGGGGGAGACAAGCTGGGGCTCGCCTTTCAACACTCAGGCTCTTCAACAACACAAAGAGGGGTGGGGTGATGTTCGTGGGGGGAAAAAATAGGGGGTGACGGGCTGGTGGCTTGGAGTGGGGAGGGGTGCTACAAGCCTTACCCCTCACCATCTGCTGCCCAGGCTAAGTGAGGACAGGGGTAGGGCCAGAGTGCAGGGTGGGGTATGTGAGCGCGAGCACAGAAAACACACGTGTATCTGCGTGCACGCACCTGTTTGTGTGTCAGTGGGTGGGTGGGTGAGTGGAATGGCAGATGGACAGGGCATACTCCTGGCACCAGCGCTTCGATATTAAGGAGTATCCCCCTTCCCCCACATTCCTAACCCCCGCTACCCTAATCCACATTGCCAGCCAATTCTTTATGTTGTACTCAGTTTGATTAAGACATCCACGATTAGAGACATTATTGGCTGGGTGTGAGTATGTGAACCGCTTATTCATGCGGCTGTTTGCTGTAATCAAAGCCAAACATACGCAGAGACTTTTGCCTGAACACCACTTAAGAGTATTTTCTGTTTAAAACAATTTTAAGACACATTTATCAGTCACTAATCCTAGTTTTATATACCACTCTTGAAGGAGTGCTGCATGGGTCATTGAGAGGAAAAGCCCCGAAAATGGTACTAGATCAAATAGCCACACACCGCACACTCATTTACACATCCTCATAGTATTTGATATAATTCCCCCTCTGCAGTGTGTGTTTATCTGCACATTATCAGTGAGCTGTCTACCCCCTGTTAAAAAAAAAGGGGGTCAGAGCAGCAGACAGTTCAGTCTTGCTGAGCAGTAATCTGAAAATGCCTGTAATCCTCCATACAGAGCCCTTCTGGAGACCGTGATTCTAGTGTGGAGAGGTGTAGCCTCCTCTCAGTTTAGCAGCCATGTGTCTGACCAGGCTTGACACGCAACCAGAGCCTTAACTTACAGCTGCCAGGACACACACTGAGAGATGAGGCACAGCAAAGCTGCCCTGGTCACTCACTGGAATAATTATTCCATTTTTCTCCCTATACAATGCAGCGTGAGTGCAGGTCAATGAACTTATTCAACCTCAGTGTTAGAACAAGTGGCATATCTGGGATCCAATGAACTCCCTGGGTTATTAACATAAATACAGGGCGTGGAAATTATTAGGCGCCATTTTTTTTTTTTTAAATGAAAACGCACAAAAACGCTGCTCAGTGAAAACAGTTTACTTGGCAACACCACCATTATCAGGCAATTATGCAGGTGACACTTATTTTGTGTAAGTTTACGTGAATTCTCCCAAGGGACATCCAAAACGATGAAGTCGCACTGCAGTTCCTGAAATAAGTGTCAAATTAGGGTGTCAGTTTTAACAATTTCCACATTCAGCAATTTATGCACTGCAGAGAAGAGTATGGTGCACAAATTATCGCTGTTTGGTGCTTTAGGATAGGATGCCTGTTTTCTGAGTGTGTTAGGCACCAGCTAAAATCTTGGACTTGCCTTGGGATTACAGTGGCAACCACGTTTGACTGTCAGTCGTGTCGTTTGTCTTGCACTGTACGTCCAAGCAGCACCTCCAGATAGTCATTTATTCCACTGACCACCTACAGGAATAGGACATCCGATTATGAAGTAATATTACGTTAATTACTATAACTCTGAAATTAAGGTTTACCTGAGTTTTTGCTGATGTTATGTTCAGCATTTTGTAAGCAAACAGGTCTGTGTTGTTTCTATTGAATGCAGCAAACAGTGCTGCCGTCCAAACACTGTTGGAGTTTACTGGGGCTTCCTGTGGCTGGCCTGGCATCGGTCCTCCAACGGTTACAAAGCGACCGACCGAAGCGCAAACTAAAATACAAACCCAGATGAACATCTTAAACCCAACAACTTATTTCAAAGTGGTTTAGGAGAGCTCCGGTTGTCAGTTCTGAGCGTCTGAATTCGCGTTCAAAACCGGGTTAAAATAATGCTAGCAAGAAACGCACAACTGTTTCTTGTCTGTTGATCAAAGTATGAGCGTCCGAACTGACAATCACCACTCACACCACAAACTTGCGCGTTGCTAGGCTGCCGTGAAGCTGGTGCTGCTGCTGGAAAACAGGCTACTGCGTGTTAATTGACAGAAAAATAAAATATACAAAAAGTATGGGAATAACACGTAATATTTAAGAGAAATACAGCAACGTTACGGTCTTCAGCAAGCTGTCTCTGGCTACATAAAAAATAATCATAGCCTACATGATAAATCATAAAATACAAGTGTGACCCCATTTTAACATTAATTAATACATTTGTAAGGTAAACCTTCCCTCCATGATTTATGTCACTGACACAGTGGATGTAAATCCAACCAGAACAACACAAAAACAATATCCTTTAATATCAAAATATAACTATAAAAATATAAACAAACAAAATTCACAAGTGTCCACTGTCTTAACATACCTTAACAATGTGTGGACAATTCTTTTTTGGGAGTCACATAATTAAGCTGAATGGAGGTCATCTGTGTGTAATCAAGGTGTGACTAAAGTGATTTTACCTTAAATAATACCCTATCTGAAATATTTAAAACCATTACATGAGTCAGGGGAATGACAGAACAAAATTCTCAGGGCAATAAATAACCCTTGACATGAGGTGATCAAATTGCAATGCTGAAAATTGTATTTGAGCAGGCCTTCCTCAAAACATTTTGAGTCAGACAGAGAGGGGGGCACCTGTGTGGCAGGCCACCACAACACCTACTGCAAACTTTATAGCTCATTATACTAAATGCAATATTTGGTGTAAGCAAAACAATGCACATTAACAGAAGCACACCATCCACTCCATGAAGCCCAGTGGTTGCAGCACTATCAGGCCCTAAGGGTTTGCGAAGTGGGTGAGGTTCAACTAAATGCATGAGAGATCCTGGAGGAAGATCTGCTTCAGCCTGTAAAACAGTCATTTGGAATATTTATTTTCTTACAAGACAACTACCCCAAACATTAACCCATTTGAGAGTCTAGACAACACCCCCCATCTACAATCTTTATTTCCCCTCCCGAGTAGTTAATATCTGTGTACCTTCTAGTAACACAAATTACTCTTGAACAAGGTTTACAATGTCATTGCCTCACAAATAAATAATCTTTTATTCTAGATAAGAAACAGAAAATATTAACAACTAGGATGTATTTGTTGTACACTGTAAGTATAGTGAATTAAAATGTGTATTAATTTGAGAGTGATAGCAGGTAAATTCATGCAGGGTTAATCGAATTATGAATTGCAAATTATTGTACGTATGATCAAGGAAAATCGCATGTTTTCATCCATTCTCTCTAGGGGTTTAAATTGCAGATATTGTGTCTTCTTCTAAATCACAATATACTGTGTGTTGTGCGTTTGTTGCAGACAGATGTTGAGGAATGTCTGGAGCTCAAGAGTTACACTGATGAGAGGATCTTGCAGCCAGACAAAGCAGGAGGAGCATGGTGCTGCTGGATGGGCAACGGGCCCTAGAAGACACCGGGGAGAAATGGGGATTACTGGAAAGGAAAAAATTAAGAGATTTTGCTCTTTGAATTGTAATTTAGAGATGCTGTCCTGGTGCAAAAGACATAACACAAAACACATTCCTTTGTTATACTTGAAAGCATAGGCTATCCAGAAATCAGAGACACTTGTGTAGAGTGGGCGGGAAACGGCACACTGAAGGTGGGTGCAGGTTTGTTTATTTTGAGCGCTAGAAAAGGATCTTTTAATGACCAGTATGGACAGGAGGAATATTCTTCTTCATTGCCATTAATCTAGGGATTATTTTCTTAATTAATCAATCAAATAAATAATTAAAATAGAATATAAGATTCTCAGTGTAGGCCCAAGCCGGCATTTTAGAATTTCTTGTTTTGTTTTACCAACAGTCAAAATCCCAAAGATATTTAGTTTACGAATTCTCACAACTGAAAATGTGAAACCAGATGTTTGGCATTTTTGCTTGATAAATGATTGACAGGATTAAGTGGTTCAAAATGGTTACAGAATAATTTTATGTCAAATGACTAATCGATTAATGGAATGATCGTTTCAGCTCTGGATTACATATGCATATAAATATTTTATTAATATAGACTAGACTAATCACAAATATCATAAAAAATATCATAACCCATCCTTTACTGAACCTCTTCTACCCTGCAGAAGCAAGCACTAAAAACACGTTACGCACTTGAGCTTGAAATTCTTGTAGAAAATACATTTTCCAGAGATACCAAATTGTCATTGTGTGTAACAGGCCAACATAGATTGACACGCAGTACAGTACTGTATATCTGTATACTGTACTATACTGTGTACTGCTAACAATCTCCATTTGATGTAATGGTGCTGCCATTTAAAAACTCTCTGGGTTTTACTATTTTACTAACCAGCTTCGTCACAGGAACAAGCACATACAGAACATACTGAATAGCTATGTGGTATTTGTAGACAAATGTTACATTTGTCAGGATTGTTAATGACAATTCAATACACGAGAGCAGTAGTGGATTTCAGATAAGATGTCAGATAAAGTAGCCACATACACATAAAAAAAACAAGTACAAGTCTTGCATTCCAAAAATTTTAAATCAGAAAAAAAGAGCACTGTTTTCAGCCAAATGTATTAAAGATTTAGCACTGGAGCTCTGTCAGTTTTGCATTATATTTTTGGATCATTATTATTGATGCAACACGTAAGCAGGATTTAATATTCAGAATCAGAATCGGGTTTATTGCCAGGTACATTTTCACATATGAGGAATTTGCCATGGTATGAATTGGTGCCTACAGTACACATAACATCAATAGTAATATAAATATATAAAAAGGAGATCAGAAAAAAGTATACAAAAAATATTAAAAGATACAATGCTGACAAGTATGTGCAAAAGTTGGCAACATGAGCATAAAGCACAGTTGAGCGTTGTTGTAAAGTGTGGGGTCAGGAGGGTGTATGAGTGTGTGTGAGTTTGGGGAGGGGGGCATGAGAGTCACTGACGGGGACCCGGGCCTTGTTGAGGAAGCCCACTGCCATCGGAAAGAAACTGTTCTTGTGGCCAGAGGTTTTGGTCCTGATGGACCGCATATTGCAGCTGGTGGTGGAGGAGCTAATTTTAACTACCTTATATACTTTGGGGTAGTTTAATCTAACGTTATAACAATGAATCATATTTTACAAGCCGATTATGGGTTTTGTATTGGAAATCTTAATATGTGAAGTAATAACGTTAGAGCTGTGAAATAAAACGCAACGCTACAATATTTGCCTCTGAAAAGTAGCTAGTGGAGAAGAAGTATAACGTTAAAGCAACATTATCTGGAAAAACTCAACAATAGTACAAGTACCTCAAAATTGTACTTAAGTACTTGACTAAATAAGCGTACGACGGCACTACGTCAGCAAGACACACGCCGGTGTAACACCAAAATCTGTGACCTATCACATTCTGTGACTACACCCAAACGACGATGTTTTCCTAACCATAACTAAGTACTTTCGGTGCCTAAACCAAACCAAGTACTTTTGGTGCCTAAACCCAACCAATCTGCAACCGCTTCACATCGTCAACAAAGCCTCTGGCGCTTAACTTCCCATTTGGGTCACAGAATCTGGTAGGTCACACATTTTGGTGTCACACCGGCTTGCTAACTTTAGCGGAGCTTACGTACCGACAATTAACTTTTTAGGAGGTTTGTTGTGTGACGTTGAACACTTCCAAGGCACAAACGGCTGCCTGTTTACCGTGATTATTAAACATAACTTACATGCCTTCATATATTAATTACCAATATATTTTTAATAACAAAATACACGCTAACATACCATGGGCGGCTGATGCTGATAAGCAGCCATGATGATCACGCGCCGTTCTTCTTCCTGGCAGCTCGTTGTTTTACGGTGGTTGTCAAACAGCAAATGGTTCTTTACCGCCACCATCGCCCGGAGTATGAACTGATCACATTTTTCAAATGTACTGAAATATATTAAGTTTAAAAAAACACAAACATTTTTCTTGGTTTCTCATCTACAAAACAATAAATGCCACAATAATTGGCAGAGGTAGAAATAGCCTCACAAGTAGAAAATGGAGACATGGAGACATGACAAAACTAAACATAAAAGTGTGTTTCTGCGATAAACTAGGAAAGTAACAGGCTTATGTCTGAAATATGTACTTTACAGTTTAAATTATTTTGAAATACTGTATTCCATTTATAAGACTGACAGGTCCGCAGATCTGTCAGTATCTTTATACACATTTTTATTTAGGACCGAAGATTTATATAAAAAGGAGGAACAACCTGAAAACTCTCAAGTCCTTAGACTGAATTTATAATTTCAGTCACAATATAGAGTATACCAGAATAAAATGGTTGCAGGAGGAAAACAAAAAATAGGCATATGCATTTCTGAAGGTAAAATTGATTCAATAGAATTTATTTTCCTCATCGTAGCTTAGTAGTTTTTTCTTTTAGGATTTTATTTCACCCAAATTTACATTTATGTCCCCATGTGGGTCATTTTGCAAGACAATAAAAAAAAACAAAAAAAAAAACACTATGTCCATAACCAATTAACATTTAAACTACATTTGTCTTTATTATAAATAGAAAAATCAATATTCATTTTAGGCACATTGAAATTAAGATTTTATTTATTTATTTTTTTAAATTTAAAAACTAAATATAAACCACACTACACTTTTAAAAAGGTCTATTTTCTCCTTTATACAGAACATTTTAGTGTTGAACAAGCATTTTTCAAAAATGGCCACATGTGAACAAACAAGTTTCATAAATGTTCCTATTCCCGGGCAAGTATGACGTGAAGCTGTCTTCAGTAAAACAGCATGTGAAATACAGACCAGTCTGTATGCATTTAAAAAGGGCTCCCTCCAAGCCACAACCATTTATTTTGGTCTGAATCTACACACCACAGTTTAAAAAAAAAAAAGAAGAAAAAAAATCACCCTTTACTATGATAGCTCCATAAGAGCAAAATACATCCAACTACTTATGCTTAAAGACAATCCCTTGGACAATGAAGGAATGTAGTGCTGGTTCATCTTTTTCTCGTGGCTGGAAAATACCAGTACAAACACAAACAAAGAACACGTGAAAAACAGAATATCACCACCAACTGAACAGCTAGAAAACAACAGAAAGACTTGGATTAAGCTACACATTAGTTTTTGAGTCCACTTTTAAATAATCTTTACTAAACTTATGTTATTAGGTTTTCCTTCTGAGACACAATTGTCTGTTCACGTTTGTCGGACAAGTCAACCGTGAGTGTTTTGGCACAAAATGCGGCTGTTGTATGATCTGTGCTCTGCATTAAATTAGCAATTCAAAACAGTACTTGGGACATGTGTGTTGTGTTGATATGAAGATCTGGCAAAATGTAAACCATCATTGCCATAACCGCCTGCCATGTAATATCTGCAAAATAGAAAACTGTTGTTCATATATCAATCTAAAATAACAATTTATGAAAACACAATCTAGCTGCTTTGTTTTTCTTCTTCGGGTAAGTTTTCATAAAGTATCTTCACCCCATCATAGGGAACGTCGCACCTGAGGTACCTTTAGCACATCCTTCAGAATCAAAAACTGCATTCAAGCGTGTCCAGTCAAAAGAAATGACGGCAAATAGATAGACAGAGTAATGTGTAACATTTTGTTCGTCCTTTTGTTTTGAACCAGAATATAAAAAGCCTCTACAGCAGCATGGCCACACAACATATCTGCTAACCTCTGAAATGAACAGAAACATTATAAATGAGTATTAAAAAAAAAAAAAAAAGGTCTCCACCTCTCCACAAACGACACACACATAACTCCTTCCTAACAGGCTACTCCTGTGGCTATTGGCTATACAGGTTTTGCTTGTTTGGATATCATTAGATGCCAATTTCTATGCTGAATATCAAACCACAGCTGAGCTCTCAGTTTGATTATCTAGTTCTATAAATCTATGACATGCTTAGTGTCCATGAGGCCGGGCAAAGGGCATTTATTGCCCCTTAAAATAAAAAAATAAAAAAGGCCAAAAGTAAAATGAGAGACTGTGAAACATTCTGCTGCAGAGCAATCATTAATAGTCTGCTTAACACAGTTTTACATAGTAACAGATTATTCTTTAATCTGAAATATTTCCATAGCTCATATACCTCCTTTATTGGTATGCACAAGGGAATGGAGAAGAAGTGTGCAATGGGAATAAAGGGGATCTACTGTATGATACTTGCCTGTACATATGACAAGTGGAAAGAGTGTGAGTGGTGCTGTGGCACAATGAGGGTTGAAATAAAAGATGACCTATTGAAAAACGGAGTGTTGACAGATGTGTTAGGTAGCGCCACACTGCCCCAGCTGGAAGATTGTTAGTGCAACCCTGGTTTGTACACATAACTCCGTCTTCAGTCAGTATGAAGTCCATTAGAACCGCCATGTGTTCCTACAGGGCATTATTCTCCGGGGAGAAGAGAGCTGCCAGGCCCAATGCTTCGCTGTTCTGTAAATCCTTGTCTGGCTTCGGCTTTTTAAAGAGCGAAGGAAGATTCCGGATATGAACCTCCTTCCTGAACTGCTGGCACAGAGCTTTCTGTTGGCAGGGGACAGAGAGGGGAGAGGTTAAACAGAGCTATCTGAGATCTACCAGAAAGAATTTCATTAGATTGTATAGCCCTGTTGAGCCGCTGCACCTTTTTTTTGCTGCTGAGCACAGAAGATTTACAACACAGCCAGAATCACACTGCTGAGTAATGACTTGTACTATTAGGCCAGTGTCTCTGGTCACTTCTAATGAGCTGCCTACAGTGAGATAAAATAGAGAAGCACTGCTCTCTAGGGGCTAAAGGAGGCATTACCCCAACAGTTCCTGCAATGAGCTTCTTGAACTGGTCTTTCCTCTTCTTGTCTCCAGCCTTCTGGGCATTGGGGTCCATGAGCCTGTGATCGTACTGGTCCAGAGCCTCCACACTGATGTTTGGGATCTGGGTCATCACTGCTCCCAGCTCCATGTAGCGAGGCCGCTAAAATACATGGACAAACACATGTAAGGAGACACGAGCAAGGAGATTGAGATGCATTCAGAAATTTACCTGAAAGTGAAAAAGATTTAAAATTTGGGATTATATATAATATTTTTTAGAAACTCAAAATCTCCATATGTGGCGAAAACGCATGCAATTTAAATAATAATAATAATAAAGTAAATAGTAGTAATAATGGTAAATAATGTGCATATTAATCGATAATGAAAATAATCGTTCGTTGCAACCCTAGGTGACTTCTGTAACTCTTAGCGGACAAATGGACCAAACAAAGGCAGAGATAAAGAGCAGATATAGCAGAGATTATTGCAATTAGCCTCACCAGGTTTTCATAGATATGCATGGCCAGCTGAGAGAGGGTCGAGTTGCAGACTTCATGCTGCCCATGAACCTGAAGGCCCCTAAGAACACTGGTATAAAACCACGTGACTGCCTCGGGAAGCAGGTTACCTCCTATGACCTGAAGAGAGAGAGTGGATGTGGGAAGAAAACTTTAGAAATATGTAGACATTTTGTTACAGCCACCTTTCAAGTCAGTTTGTGTCAACTGAAACATTGAATTAATTTAAAAAGCTTGACACCGCAAAACAGTGCATTAAAAAGTGATGCAAATACATTTGTCGTCAGAAAGGAGTGAAAATACATGAGATGATCGGGTTTTTAAAATTGTTGAAATTCTCTCTACATCCCAACAGCAATCAATAATTCAAATGTTCTGACGCAAAAAAGAAAAATAAGGCATCTGTGGCTGTCGCAGGGCTGTAATAAGCACAGCCAATAATTTCATTGGGTTCAAATGAAATGACTGTCTGGTCTAACTGCCTGTCTACCTACCTGTGCGCACAAACGGAACATGAAAACGTGTTTTTGGAGGAGTGACTTTGGAGGGACGCATGAAGCGCGACGCATGGGGTGGAATTTCTTTCAGTTTGATACTTACAAAATCCCGCTGTCTTGCTAGTTTCTCTGACGTTGCTTACCCAAGCTGGGTGGTCACAAATATCTCCATTAAGTGCATTACTCACTCATTACTTCATGAACTTCCAAGATTCTTTCAGCCATCCAAATGCTCCAATTAAATTCTCATTCAGCATCCCCAAAAGTCTGTAGATACTTAACAGTCTGGTAATTGTATAACATTTAATTGTCAACAAACCCCATCAAAATATCCAACCATAACAATGAATTGTTCCCACTAACAAGTTTATCCAAAGCCCGAAGTAACTTATTCCTCTGTGCCTTAGACTTCTATTGTAAACTATTTGAACCACATAAAAGAGCCACACTTTTGCACTGGATATGTGAATGTAAATGCTCTGTATTTTTATAGCGCCTTTCTAGTCTTTGTGACCACTCAAAGCGCTTTTACGCTCACATTCACACACTGAGCCTAAGCGCTCAAACAGAAACTAACATTCACACACCAGTGGAATAGCCACCAGGGGCAATTCCCAAAGACACTTTGACATGCAGCCTGGAGGAGCCGGGGATTGAACCACCAGTCTTCCAATTAATGGGCAACCTCCTGGGCCACAGCCGCTATTGTTCCTTCATTGGTACTGTAGTTTATTTTGAGTAGACCCCTCGTACATGTCCTGCACCTGTACCAAATCTGAGACTGAAAAGAAATGCACTGTTTACTCTTGTTTAAGCAACATTTGCTAATTCAGAAAGTCTTGAGACCGACTAACATACTGTTGGTTTTGTGTTTCAAGGGACTTGTGCACAATAACCAGCCTTCTTTTAAAAGTGTGACAAGAAAGGATGAAAAAAAATTCATATATTAAACATTTGTTGCTTTAAGTGTGCTACCTGTCGCAGGAGGGTCCAGCAGACCATGGAAGCAGTGC